CCCACCCCCAGCACCCCCGTCACCGCCGGCGTCCTGGAGGACGCCGCCCGCCGCCGCCGCCGCAGCAGCAGCAGCAGCAGCAGTGGGTGCACCCCAGGGCGGGGTGCACGGCGAGGGGCGCGGCAGGTTGGGCCTGAAGACAGGCGAAAGAAAGGGTGTGTGGGGCCACTCCGCCGTGCGCTGGCCGAGTCGCTGTCCGACGTTACCCCACCCTGCACCAGGTGGCTGATTCACGCCACGCACTTTCGTACAGTTATGCTGTACCGCATGCACTGGTGCGGGCGGAATTGCCTCTATCGTCGTTGCCCACGGCTCCTTGTGCCCCCGTGCGAGTAGGCAAGCCGCCCGCACCCGTGCATGCGGTACGGTATAAATTCAAAAGTGCGTGGCGAGAAACAGCCACCTGGTACATCACCCTCCTGGCGCCCGAGAACCCCGGCCACGACGACACCGCTCGCCGGCTTGGCCAGCGGCAAGGTGATCGCCGTGACCCGCTGCGCGCTGCCCGGGCCGGGAGCTCTTTAAGGACGCCGCCCGCCGCCGCAGCAGCAGCAGCAGTGGGTGCACCCGAGGGCGGGGTGCACGGCGAGGGGCGTGGCGAGGTGGGCCTGAAGACAGGCGAAAGAAAAGGGGTGAGTGGGATGGAAACGATGGAAACACGTTGGGGGATGGGGGGGGGGAGTTCCCCACCCCCCTTCGAACGCTATGAGGAGAATGCGGAAGAGAAGAGGGGGGGGGGGCAGCACAGCAGGCAAGCAGGCGCGTGCGCTGCAGTGTAGGCTCGGCCGGCCGGCTCGGCTCGGAGGCCGGCCTCGAGCGCTCAGACTGTCCTGGTATTATTCAATTTTGAACAGCTGAACGTGTCCACGGCCTCCTCCAGCTGCGTGATGTTCTGTAGCCAGGTGTCCACCAGCCGCTGGTAGCGCTGCTGCGCCTCGCCGGCCTGGGACTCCCCAGCGCCGGCCAGGGCGCCGGCCTTCTCCGTCAGCGCCTCCACCACGCGCTTGTGCGATAGCACCTCCTGGAGTTACGTCTGTAAGAAAGCAAGCTACACGTTCATGAGACAACTAACTATCTACAAATAGTCTCACAATGACCTGAATTTGACGGTTTCCCGCAAAACATTTGGGCAATTCAAAAATGCTATCGCCACTAGCCTTGTTCTTGAGTAGCTTGCGGCGCGCACCTCGGGGATGGGACGCGCGTACTGCGGGTGGCCTATTGCGGAGGCTCACAGGCGTTGGCACTGCAAGGCTAGGGCCGTGGCACTAGATAAAGGAGGAGGAGATTCACAGCCCTGTGGGCCAGCATAGGCGACCCGTGTCCC